CTCTTTTGTAAAGGCACTTTCTTGTAATTTTTTACGTTTTTGTGGACAAATTTCATTTAGTATATATTTATTACATCCAATTGCAATAAGATGGGTGAACGTATATGTGCCTTCTATTGGGTATGAAGCTGCAAAGAAAGAATCCGACGAAAATGAGAAAGCTAATTTAATGTTGGATGCGGTGATGTTGTCATATGTGACAACAATTATTGTTTCATGGATCTACTTTAAATGTGTTGAAAGGCCTTCTATGAATTTAGCTAACGATATTGCAAAGAGATGGTTAAGTGAGAGGAAGTCTGGTATAGGGATGGGTTCGGTCAGGTTATAGCGACTAGCCGCCCGGCTATAGCCGTAGTAGATAATAGTCTTAGCTGACCGGATAGCCGATGCCAAATTTTTTATTTCCTTGCTAATAAATCATAATTATTGCTAATTCGACATGAAGTGCACAAATTACAGAATTATTGCAAGAAATACCCTAGTTGTCGCGTCACATCAGATTCTCGATTTTGATTGGCTAAGAGCAACGATCAAAAATTCAGACCAAAATTTACTAAGTGAAAATGTTCCTGGGCCAATTTTACTATTGTATGGCCCTATTTCCCTAAAAATTCTTATTTTTGTAATAAAGTTAAGAACTTAATTCCGGCCAAAAATTAGGCCAATCAAAATCGAGAATTAGTTGTGGCAAAATTGGTGCAACAGCTAGGGTATTTTTTATTATTTATATAAATATAAAAGAATAATTATATTTGGTGCAGGGGTGCACACGGTGCACCCTATAGCAAAATCAACATCAATAAGAGTTTTAGTTAATGTTTGAGTTATGTTAGGGTTAGGGTAAAAACTTTACGGAGAATATTTTTATTAGTTACACAAAAGGGCTACCCTAGTAAATTTTGAGATATCAAAGGGTGCACTAAAAATAAATGCCCAAATAATAAATAGAATTATATATAAAAAAATTAATTTAGGGTAAGGGTTAGCACTAATGTAGGGCTAGGTTAGATTATAGGTAAATGTTAGTTATACCCAAAATTTTGCAAGGATTTTTTTCGTTAGGACGCAAAAGGTGGTTTCATAAGCAAAATTATGAGTTACAAGCGATTTTTTCAAAACGTCGCTATTTTTTTCGATTTCACGTTACACCTGATCTTACGATCTGATTGGTCGATCAGGTGGGTGCACGTGCGCTAAATTATATAACCCAAAATTTTATATAATATTTATATAACTTTATAGAGCTACATAAAGTTTATAAAAAAAACAGCTTGCTGATGTCTGTAATTTTCATGTGT